ATCGGGTCATATCCCCTTTTGAATGGTTTGACATGCCATTACATTTATATTTACATCAATAAATCAACGTATCTACCTATTCTACTTTGCTATGTTGCACCTCAACATTGCATCACCGAAACTTAAAACACATCGCCAAATTGCTCATACCCCCCCGCCCAATAGCGCCCTGCGCCTTGCATCCGAGCGCTGCCAACGTAACCTCTTCCTCTTATCTCTTCGCATCCGAACGGATAAGTTACACTAAAAATCGCTCCCAAAAGTTGAAGAGTTTTTCCTCTTTAGTCGCTTTTTGGTTCGCATTTTCGCCTTTCATAATTATTCTCTACGATTTCCTTTTCGTTAGAGAGTAGTTTCACTCCGTGAATTTATTTATTTATCAGTATTCTAGAACGTTTTCTTACCGACAACTGTTCTTTTCCTCTTTCGCGTTTTCCCGTTCTCACTCCAAGGTCTCGGGTGCGTGCGGGGGTAGTCGGTGGGGTGTTTCAGTCACTGGTAGTTTATTTAATTCTTTTTCATAATTGCTCGTACCCTTTGTTTAATCTTTCTTTCCCGCAGGTTTAATATGTCTCGCAGTTCTAATTTTCTCTTAGCAGGTTTCTCTAAGAAGAAATCGAATTCTGTCGCGAGAAAGAAGACGAAGGATTCTAGCAAGTCTTCGTTAGTTACGCCCCTCGGGAGCGGTGGTGACACCGCAAACCCCGGGGATACAAATGTCAGCGGACATTTATGCGGGCAAGGCAAGCCCATGAGAATGGTCGAGGGGGCGATTGTTATCTCCCCTCGGGACGGTTCCCGGAAACCCAGAGGTATCAACTCTGGGTGGAACGGACCTTAGTTCTGCACCGCCATCAATTGTTCCGTCAGGTCTTTTGTTTGGTCGGTGCACAAATCCATCGACGGATATTCGGGTTGCTACCGTGGATCTGGACTTGAACCGGTCACCGACAGGTTCTTCTGTTCCTTTGTCGGCTTTGCCGGTTCCGGATTTCGGTCCGGATACCCATGCAGCCGAGTCGGATCCTGGTGCTTCAACTAACCTCGCCTCTCCGTCGGTGCCTGTTCCGTTTTCCCGATTCGGTTTGCGTGGAGCTCCTACCGTCGGGCTTTTATCGGATACCCGTCCCTTTTCTTCATCGGCCGTTTCCGTTACCGCTACTTCTCGTAAGAGGCGGGGTATCCGGGACGCTGTGGCAGGTTCTTCCTCGGATTTTGTTTATCCGTCGAAGAAACCGCGCTCTGATGTTACGGAACCGTTTGCGGCTCCTCGGGGTCCGCCTTTGGTGGCTACTCTCCCTCCGTCGGTGCCTCCACCCCCGCCGGAATTTTCGGATTGGATGCGGGCTTTTGCTGACGCGTTTCGCTCTTCGATGCCCGAGTCGGCTCCTCCGGTTCTTCCTACTTCAGTTTCGGATCCGATCGCGGTTGATTTATTTTCGGAGCTTTCCGAAGATGCATCGATTTCTCCTGAGCAGTCGCCGGTGCGGGTTTCGAGTTGTCGTATTCCGCCGAGGTCCTCTCTTTTTGCTTCTCCGCCTCACGCATCGTTGGGCGCTCCGATAGGCGGGGATCGTCCCTGTTTATCTGGTCAAGATAGGGGGGGCTCGGTTGATCGTTGGGACACTGGTTCCATCGCTCAGTCGTCTGGTTCAGCTGCGGGGGATGATGCGTCTACTCCGTTTGTGTCTCTGGCGGCGGAATCGTTAGCCTTGTTTCACAAATATGTGCCCGATTCTTGTGTCGTCCCGGAGTTATCGTCGGGGCGGCGGGGCTTCCTGTCTTCTAAATCGGACTCTTCAGCAGTTCAGGGACTGTTTCTTCCTGATCTACACAAAGAAGAATTTGTGAACGTCGCAAAAGACTTGTCGCCATCGACGGGATTTCTTAAGCGGCAGGTGAACAAGTACGCTTTCGTTCCTCAGGATGCTGAGTCGTATTTGTGTCCTAAACGGGTTTCTCCCAAACTTGTGGGGGTGGCCAGTCGTTTGGGGAAGAAGTTTGGGACTCGTGGTCCTTTTTATAAAAGTGACAACTTGCTGTTTGATCTTTCTTCATTGACTGCTTCTGGTCTCCGGATGTCCGTTGTTATGGACATGCTGGTGGAGCTTTTGGCTAGTGCGGACGATCTCCATATCACTGTTGAGGATCGTTCGATCTTGGTGGCTTCGCATTCCATCGAGAAGCATCGTCGGGAGGCTGTGCTCACTAGTTTGGGCATTCGACCACGCCAAATTCCAGGACTGCTTCCACAGATTCCAGTGGCCAGCCCCCACCTTTGTGGAGATAGTTTCACTACTCTACTGCAAGCCGAGATTGATGGTGAGAAGTAGGCTCGAGACCTGTCCGTTGCTTTTCGCGATGTCCAAAAGCCGGTTCCTTCCTCCAGACCTCGTAAGAAAAGTTCGAAGAGTTCGGGTTCTTCTCGTAAGAACGTCGGCCAGTCTAAGGGCCGCCCTCAGGACTGGTACCCGGTCGAGGAGGAATACCAGGATCGTGGTCGTCCTTCGTCTCGAGATTCGTCTTACCGTGATTCTTCTTACCGTGGTGAGTCGTCTCGTGGTTCGACTTCTAGGGGTAGGTCGTCCAGGGGTAGTCATCTTCCCGGACTCCCTTTCGTGGAGGTGGGAAGTCATTCTCTAGATGATGGCTTCCCCCGAGTGCTTGGGCGGCTCCGGAGATTTCTCCCGGCGTGGGAGAAGATCACCAGCGACGCGTTTGTTCTGTCAGTGGTGCGAGAAGGGTTCTTCATCGATATTGTGGAACCTCTTCCAAATGGCGTTCACCGGAGCCGCTCTCCGACCATGTCCCCTCTTTTTCAGGGTCACATTTCCTCCGAAATCGTGTCTCTGTTAGAGAAGGGGGCAATAGAAGAAGTAGACGATCACCCGTGTCTTTGTTTGTCGCCGGTGTTCGTGATTCCCAAGCGCTCGGTTCTTTAAGAATGATTCTCAACATGAAGCGGATCAACCTTCATCTGGGAAAGGTTCATTTCCGAATGGATCATCTGGCAACCATCCTTCCGTCTTTGAATCCAGCAGACGTCGCGGTTTCTTTGGATCTTCGCGACGCTTATTTCTAGGCTCTGCTGTTGGATCATGTGCAGATTCTGATCAGTACGACTCAAGATCTCGGATTTCTCATAAATTGGGAGAAATCGGAGTTCGTCCCGACTCGCACGCCGTCTTACCTACATTAGGTGCTCAGCTAGACATTCGTCATCAGCTGGCTCGTCCCAGTCTCGACAGGGTCGAGACGATAGTCAGGACGGCTTGTTCTCTAAGATGTGCACGTCGGGTGAAAGCCGAGCTTTGGCTTCAGTGGCTAGGGTATCTCTCCAGTCTAGTCGACATTCTTCCAGATTGTCGACTATTGATGAGACCCTTCCAACTCTTTCTGTTGGAGTTTTATCAGCCGTGCGTGAGTTCTCTTTTGACGTGGATCCCCCTGTCGTCCAGAATCAAGGGTCTTCTAGGTCCTTGGCTTCATCGTTCCTTCCTCCTTCAGGGCAAACGCTTCCGAGTTCCTCTCCCTTCCGTGACCGTCACCACGGACGCGTCGCTGTTGGGTTGGGGAGGTCATTGCCAGGGGTCAATGATTTCAGGAGACTGGAGTCATCTGGACTTTCTGCCCCACATCAATGTGTTGGAACTCATGGGAGTGTTTGCTTCGCTTCGTCACTTCCGTGCTCGTCTGGTGGGTCGCTCGGTTCTGATACTTACGGACAACGTGTCGGTGATGCCGTACATCACCAGACAGGGAGGCACTCATTCTGTGGCTCTGAAGGAGTTGGCCTCTCAACTCTGGGCGTGGTGCAAGGGGGCGAGGGTGTTCCCGATTGCATCACATATCCCGGGCGAAGAGAATATCATAGCGGACTTTCTCTCCAGAGGCAAGTGCCTTCCCTCGGAGTAGACTCTGTCTCCGACTGTCTTCAGGCAACTGGTGAGAGTGTTCGGTGTTCTCGACATCGATCTCTTCGCAACTTCGCTCAACCATCGTCTTCCTCGATTTTGTTCGAGAGTCCGGGAACCAGGAGCTTTTGTTCTGGACGCTTTCGCGATCCCGTGGGGGGGGGGGTGGAGGGCTTACGCCTTTCCCCCGTTCGCATTGATTCCCCGTGTGCTCAGGAAGATCAGGGAAGATCAAGCGATGGTGATTCTCATAGCTCCTTGGTGGCCGGCGAGGTCGTGGTTTCAGGACCTCCTGACCCTCCTGGTGGGGACTCCGTGGTCGTTGCCATGTCATCCGGATCTGGTGTCGCAACCTCTGTCCGGTATTCTACACCAGCGGCCGGAAATCCTCCATCTGACCGCTTGGCCGTAATGGGGGAGAGGGCTCGTTCGTCAGGTTTCTCCGAACGTGCTGCACATTTTCTAGTCCAGAGTAGACGAGAGTTGACCAGGACGGTTTACAACTCCAGGTTAGGTGCTTTTCACACTTGGTGTGAGGAGGTGGGCGTCGCCCCTAGAGAGGCGTCTTTACCTTCTATTGCTGACTTTCTGATCTCTTTGTATGACAAGGGAAGAGCTCTGTCGACGATTCGTGGCTATCGGTCAGCTATAGCTGCAGTTCATTCGGGGTTTGCCGATGGTGCTTCGGTTTCCTCTACTCCTCAGCTAGCGGCTCTTTTGAAGTCTTTCTCCCTTAAGAGACTTCAGACCTCTGACGCCAGCGTGGAGTTTACCCAAGGTTTTGGAAGCTTTAGCACGTCCTCCCTTCCAACCGCTGTGTTCTGCGACGCTTCTGCATACTACGATCAAGACGGTTTTTCTCATGGCAATCGCTTCTGGTCAGCGTAGGAGCTCACTTCATGCCCTTTCAGTTGCCCCTGGGCATATCCGCTGGGAAGGACGTGGGGTTCGTTTGATTCCCAAGGCTTCTTTTATTGCTAAGAATCAATCTGACACGTCGGGTTCAGTGGAAGTGGTGCTCCATCCCTTGTCGGATTTGTCTTCGGTCTCCGGGGACAAGCTGTGGTGTCCCGTTCGCGCCCTCAAATGGTATCTTCACAAGACGAAGCCTTTTCGCAAGTCGGATCAGCTCTTTCTGGTTTCTCGAGAGCCACATTCGGCGGCATCTCGGGATACGATCTCCAGGTGGTTAGTCCTGGCTATCAAGGCTGCGGGCCCTGAGGCCTTGACGCCTGGCAGGGCTCCTCGTGCTCATGATACTCGCAGTGTCAGTACGTCTTGGGCTCTTTTCAACGGAGTTTCAGTTCGAGATATCTGTAAGGCAGCTTTTTGGAAGTCTCCAAGTTCTTTTACTGCTTTTTACCTCAAAGATGTGCCCGCGGTCGCTTCTCTGAAGGCGGCTTCGTCGTCTATTTCTCATTAATTTGATAAGTTTGCTTGGTTTTTACCACCCGGCATTAATCTGTGCTGGTCTATAGCAAAGTAGAATAGGTAGATATGTTGATTTATTGATGTAAATCATGAAAATCATTACTGATTTTATTATTTACGATATAAATCTACGTATCTACCTATTTTCCCTCCCTCCATCCCCAGCGCCTTTACCAAGGTGTGTTCTAGGGAACTCGTGATAAGAGGAAGAGGTTACGTTGGCAGCGCTCGGACGCAAGGGTCACGGAGGGCGCTATTGGGCGGGGGAGTATGAGCAATTTGGCGATGTGTTTTAAGTTTCGGTGATGCAATGTTGAGGTGCAACATAGCAAAGTAGAATAGGTAGATACGTAGATTTATATCGTAAATAATAAAATCAGTAATGATTTTCATGATTCACTAAACTCATAATTTGACAAATAATAGCTTTGCAATTATGTTCTTTCTTTATGCGATGTCGTCTGCTTGGGCAGTATTGGTCCATATAGTGACGTCATTAAAACATTATTTTTCCGGCGAATCTCTCGTATATCCCAGCTGCTATGGAGGTGGTTGTATTATTGTATTTATATTTTTATAAATCACCCGATATGTAGTTGACCTAAAACTTGTACGATGGCCATCTGTTAGCTTACCAGTTTCTAGTGATACATTAGTTGACATATTTGTGATTTTTTTTAAATTTCACCTTTAAATAAATTTTTAATGCAGGATATAAAACAAATATACCATGCCTTCTATTTGAGGTATTTGTTAGAACTATGGGCCTCGGTGACTCCAAAAGTACCATTTGCTTCGGTGCTGTGCCCCTCATCAAATAGTACTATTGGGGTCACCTCTTGCGCATACATGTAGTTTTAACCAGAACCTCTCAAGACAGTGTATATTAGTATATTAACCTAGTAAAAGTAACACGTAACCTGGCAGGCCCCTGCGCCTCTCCGCATCGAGAGTCGTAAAAATTTGGGATAAATTTTCAGTACCTTTACACCCAGCTCTGATTTAACTAGAAAAGAAAGCATGCGATCGAGGAAACTGTGTGGAGTTGACTGCCCTCATCTCTTCTCTTCTTTCTGTTTGCCTGTTTTGTTTGTTTGTATTTTGATTGTTGGGGGAAGGGGGGAAGGGGAGGGGAAGACTATAATACTCATTCAGTATAATTATTTTGAAGTCTTGTGCTGTGTATTTAACTGTATTATGTATTTCTGAGGGCGGTACAATTTCTTTACATATTGACGTTATAAGTATAACATCAAAATGTAAAGAAATTGTTGGTCTATAAGTTATGAATATCAGTTATGTACATCAATTACAAGAAAGATGTATGGTTTTTCGTTTGTACCGAATGAATGCAGTAAAGAATGCCCCCCAAAATGATTATTATAATCAATCTATAATCAGGCCTGATAAAAACCCGATTTAAATCGTTTTCTGATTTATTTTTTTTGATTTTTCCCGATTTTTCCCGATTTTTTTTTTTTTTACCAGATTGTTTTTCTTCTTCCCTCTTTTATCCTGATTTTACAGATTTCCCTGTTATTTTCTCTAATCTTCCCTATTTTGCCCTATTTTTTTGCAATTTTCTTACTCGAAAGGGGGAATGTTGTTACATGTAGATGCCATTTTTTCCCCGCAAATCCTCTTCTCTTTTTTTTACTCAAGGGTGGTTGAAAAACAAAAAACCTTCTTTTTTTTTTAGTGCTCACTATCACCCCTGTATAATATTCATTCTGTATAAATAATTTGAAGACAATTATGTACTATGTATTTAACTATCATATGTATTTCTGAGGGCCATACAATTTTCGTTACATTTTGATATATTGTATATCAATTAATGAAGATGTATGATATTTATTTTTTGTACTGAATGAATGCAATAAAGATTGAATGCTATAAAACAAAAAAGAACTGGAATATTCCAGTTCCGGTGCGAGTTCATGTAACTCCTGGGGCGGTATTCTGAACTCGTATTATCTCTAATATTGTTGTATCTTTGAAGATAAGATAAAGTTGGTATTTTGAAAATTGTGGTAACTTTTGTTGTATCTTTTGATGTATTTTTTCTCTCATCTCTTTGGCCGTGCCTGCGCCCAAACTTTTGTGGGCTTGTAATTGTGCGTATTATTAATAAAATGGCGCCTAATCTGGCCCATTCGAATATGCACACAAGAGATATATGACAAGATAATTGGTATTCTGAAAGATTGGTATGCGCTGGGAGTGCATCTTCAGATATGGCAGAAAGTATTCATATTGGTTGACCTACTTAATCATGCTTATATAAAATAGATCTTCATGATTGGTAGGGTCCATTAAAATGGCAGGTCAAAGATAAGATAGAGGCAGTCCTTCAAGAGATAATAGGGATAAAATGATTTTCAGAATACCAACTTACAACAATATTAGCGCTGTACTATCTCTTTAAGTTGGGACTTAACTATGGCAGGCCGTTCATATGCCACTGTTTGCTCTCACCATTATGATCTTTAGATAATATTTTTTCCTTCAATAATATTATCAATAAATGTAAATTTCTACATCCATTGAGACCAATGCCAGTAAATGGTGAGAGCAAACAATACCCATACGTGGCATGAACGGCCTGCCATAGTTTACCGTAGTCCAACTTAAAGTCGATCTTAGTCTTTGAAAAAAACACTCCCCTGGAAGATGCAACAAAAGATAACACAAAACAATAATACACCCTTTCACGGTTAAGGCCGCCATTTTAATTTGTGAGTAAACATTGCGTCATCAATATTTTCAGATGCGCATGTATTTGTTGCGTCACTGCCTGTGCTGTACATGTACGTGCGCTCACATGATACAGGTAAACAACTTTGTTTACTTGTAATTTAATGTCAGCACATGCGCACTCTTGTAACCGTGAAAGGTTACAAGAGTGCTCCTGCGCAGACATTAATTGCAGCCATTTTAATTTATGAGTAAACAAGTTTGTTTACTTGTAAATTAAAGTGGCGCCATATGTCAATATGATGTGAGCGCACTTGCAGCGCAGGCAGTGACGCAACAAAACATATGCGCATCTGAAAACATTGATGGCGCAATGATTACTTTTAAATTAAAATGGCGGCCTTAACCGTGAAAGGGTGTATGCCGCCACTCGGCCAGCGTCTTTTTTTTTCCCTAACCTAGCTATCCTACCACTGCATTTGATTAGCTCAATAGGAACCTAGACGTCGTGCGCTAGTCATAAATATTCATGATACGCACACACACAGAATCTGATGCGATAATTTATCAAATAATGAGATGTCATCCAAAAATTAAGTGCAAACTGCAAAGCTATATTTTCTTAAAGCCCATCTGTACTAGTTTACAAAAGGGATTAGACCACCCTAGTTGCAAGGTCACTAGAAGGTGGTTATCTCATCAAATCAGCTCTCACTTAACATAAGAAAAAGAGGATCATGGGGACTAATGGTCACTGATTAGGAATTGTTTGCTATATAGAGGGCGCAAGTAGTAATGCAGTGGGGCTTTAAAATAAATGACATTGCGAGAAAATCAGGAGGCTTACCGTAAACAATAGACTACCCAGGTCGTAACTTGTCCATAATCATTGCGACATACTGGTTAGTCCAGAATCTGGCTGATTTTATTTTGATCTCCACCACACCCAACCAACGCAAATATTCATTTATTCAAATATTAATATTAAGGTTACAAAAAGACGCATACGGCCCGTAATCTACATGTGTAAAGTTTCAACGTAGAGAGTAATATGTATACCCAGCTACGTTCGGTGCCTGTAATCGGGCATCTGTATCCTTTGCATCAAAATCAATATTTTTGATATTGCATGATATAATTGTAATTTGCAATCATTGACATGTACAGCATTTATTGGTTAACAATGAAAACAAAGGACCATTACTTCAATGACACATGTACACTGTATTCGCTTATAAATTATTAAAGCTATCTTTTTTTGTTCTTTATCAAATTCCGTAATGAATCAAATCAATTAACCTTGATATCTACCTCTCTCTGTCTATATTGTTACAACTATTGGAAATTATGATGATTGTATTTAGATTTTAACAATTGAATTCAGATAATAATTTAGGACATATATACATTGTATTACGGTGTATTCAGAAGTACATGTACTTGTCATTGAAAATTCTTCCATATTATAATTTTTGTAAATAGAGAGACATACAGTGTTGTAAATGATTTTGTCATGATGTTTTAAAGTTATATTATATTATCAAAAGAACTTTGTAATCAAAAGAAACAGAATACCACACACTGAGTTCCAGAATGCTGCTTTTATTTTAGTACTGATTAGAGAGGGCGATAGCGATGGTGTTGCATGTACGTTATGGCTCCATGCTACCGGTAGTCCTAAAACATGCCTAAATAATCATGTATTTTTTTATGCCTCCGCCACCGAAGGTGGTGCCGGAGGCATCATGTTTTCGGGTTGTCCGTCCGTACGTCCGTACGTCCGTCCGTACGTCCGTCCGTCCGTCCGTACGTCCGTCCGTCCGTCCCGTTTGACCGTTATCACAATATCTCAAGAACCATTTAAGATTTAAACTTAAGACTCGGGAATAGTATTTATTACCATAGGAAGACGATCTGATTAGATTTTTGAGTACGTAGGTCAAAGGTCACAGGTCACAGAGGTCAACTTATGAAATTCCTTGTATTGAGTTTGTTAGCGCGATATCTCAAGAACCATTTGAGATTTAAACTTAAAACTTAAGGATAGTATGTATCACCATAGGAAGACGATCTGATTAGATTTTGGAGCACGTATGTCAAAGGTCAAGGGTCACAGAGGTCAACTTATGAAATTCCATACATTGAGATTGTTATCATGATATCTCAAGAACCACTGGAGATTTAAACTTCAAACTTAGTGATAGTGTGTATCACTATAGGAAAACAATCTGATTACATTTTGGAGCACGTAGGTCAAAGGTCAAAGGTCACAGGGCTCATTATGTATGCAAAAACAGCTTGTGATCGCGTTATCTGAACAACCGATTGATGGATTCCTGCCAAACTTTGGTCATGTATGTATCTTGCAGAGCTGATGAACTGATTAGATTTTGGGGTCACGAGGTCAAAGGTCAAAGGTCACAGGGCTCATTATGTATGCAAAAACAGCTTGTGATCGCGTTATCTGAAGAACCGATTGATGGATTCCTGCCAAACTTTGGTCATGTATGTATCTTGCAAAGCCAATGAACTGATTAGATTTTGGGGTCACGAGGTCAAAGGTCACAGCGCACATTATGTATGCAAAAACAGCTCGTGATCGCGTTATCTGAACAACCGATTGATGGATTCCTGCCAAACTTTGGTCATGTATGTTACTTGCAGAGCTGATGAACTGATTAGATTTTGGGGTCATGAGGTAAAGGTCAAGGTCATGCGGCTCATTATGTATGCAAAAATAGCTTGTGATCGTATTATCATTAGAACAGATTGATGGATTCCTGCCAAACTTAGATCATTTATGTATCTTGCTGAGCCAATGAATGGTTCATAAGATCAAAGGTCATGGGCTCATTATGTATGCAAAAATAGCTTGTGGACGCATTCTCATTAGAACTGACAGATGGATTACTATTTAACTCAGGAAATCTTGCAGAGCCAATGAACTGAGTAGATTTTAGGGTCATGAGGTCAAAGATCAAAGGGTCATATATGTTTATGAGAAATTGCTTGTAATCACGATATTCTGAGAACATGTTAATGGATTACAATTGAACTTGAATTTGAAAAATTTCTTCCGTTTCGGTTTGTAAAATTGCTCTATGACGGAGGCATCATTTTCGACTGCGCGCAGTCGAATTCCATCTAGTTTTACTTCAAAATGATAGAATTAAAAGAAGATTCCTATAGGGAATTGTAAATGGTATACAATTTCAAGTTTTTTGAAACAATTAACAATTTGAAAGCCACACCTAGATTTTGGGGCATGTAAAAAGGTTGAAACGTGGGCTTGTTAGTTAATTATCTCAATTAATTAGAAGTTTAAGTTAGTTCAAAAGACTATTCTTGATAGCCAATTCATTCTCTCTCCAAAGTTATACCACAATTGAATGTATTGTAAGTTCCTTGACTATAATTCAGCAAAGTGAAAAGTTGGGATGCTCTGTTTGAGAGTTTTTCCATAGACTTTCTATGGTACCATTTTCCTCACATCCACCAGCCTGTGAGTTTATTATCTTACATGTATTTGATCATGAAGTTAATCATGGGGTTTGGTTGTCAAATAACAGAAAAGAAGAAGTAGGCTTTAAAAAAGGACCAAAATGAAGGGTGTAAGTATTCATCTTCATGTTAAAAATACCATTACCGTTATTTCATTTTGTTAAGAAAAATGTCACAACACCAGCCTATTATGGGTCCTAGTATAAGAAACATGCCGTTAACTGAATTAGTCATGAGCAAACTTTCCGAATGGTTCTGGAGCCATAATGTACTGGGTATCTACTTTTTCCTCTGTGCCATATGTCTAGATTTTGTACTGTAAGGTAAAATAAGTTAGACATATGGCTTATTTTAATAGGGTATGACTGAAATAAATGACTAAGATGGTTGACCTATAAATCTATGTTAACAATAACTTGACATTGTTTTGAAGCTCTATTACAATGCCATGACATGTGCTGGCAAAGTTTCATTAATGTAGACTCTACACAGAATGGGAGCTTCTAGATTTATATTTAAGTAAGAAAACCTTAGACAATTATACAATGTTGTAAATATCTGAATGAGTTCTACAAGAACATAATTTCATTAAGGGAAAGGGAAGGTTATGATGAAGACAAGAAATAAATACAAAAGACATTTCTTGTTCAAGACCATTAACTCTTATCCTGCCATAATGAATACAGCCCAGTGCCACAGGGCTAATCCCCATTGTGCCAAGCTACAAATCCCCCAATGACAAGTTTATTTTGAGATAATCTGATGGTGGCGATCAATAGCGTGTGGGAATCACTCAGCACACTACCATGAGCATGAAGCAGTTAAGCTGTGGCTCGCTCGCGTGAATTAAGCCTGTAATCGATAGCGCGCTCGTGTGTACAAAGCACTATAACGGTAGCGTGCATGCGGCCTTATGCAGGATGTGAGTTACATGTAAACCCTTTTCCTAACATCTTTTGTCCTTTTTGAGTGCACATTTAATAGATTTCCTGTGTAACTTTTTCTGAAAACATATCCTTTTGCGATCATCATGATCCTAGGTTGTACAGATCTACATTCCGGTATAGGTTTCAAGGTTAAGAGTGTGTTATGGAAGCTCTAATCGCCTTGTAAGGGGGGATATTAATGAGATGCTCTGTGGATTGGATTGGAACTGGGAATGATGACTTCTTCCACTGATCTATTGTGTTGTTTTTCTTTTCAATTTCAATTTCAGAAGGGAGGAAAGCCTTGGGAGCCACACGAAGTGGAAGCTTTACGCAGCTTTGTGGGATCCCACGCATCCCGTCTGTTTGGGAGTGGCGGTAGAGGTAGCCTTCAAGATGAAAGGCAGAAGGCGGATGCATGGGAGGAGTGCCGGATTGCAGTTATGGCAGCAGGGGGTCGCTCAGACAGGTCTTGGGAGAAAATCCGAAAAAAATGGCAGGACCTGGCTTCCGAAGCCAAAAAGTCTAGCTACCAAAGGAGGCAGGAACTCCATGGAACTGGTAGGTTTTCTATCAATTTATTTTACAACATGTACATCACATAGTTATACAAAATTTAGACTATTAAATTCAGACTGTTAAAAAGGAGAAAGGCTCTAGTGGGCAAGTGACAATAAGTATAAGGAAGTACACTGTATTATAAGGAAACCACCATGCACTAACTTTTATTAGACCATCATTCTGGGAATGTTTAATTTCTTTTTTATAAAAGTACAAACCGATATTCCTTTAACACTTGAAACAAGTTAATTGACTGATCTATAGAATGTCTTATGCAAAATGTCAATGTATGTTGTATGACCTTTGTTAGCAATCAAATTCCTTTAAAATAGTACATCAGAATCACTTCAAAATGAAATTCTATTAATTCTGGAGATATAATATTATTTTAAGTTGCCTTCTTGAATTACAGATCCATTACTATTGACTTTAAAATCATTTTTATGCCTCCGCCACCGAAATTCCATACATTGAGATTGTTATCATGATATCTCAAGAACCACTGGAGATTTAAACTTCAAACTTAGTGATAGTGTGTATCACTATAGGAAAACAATCTGATTACATTTTGGAGCACGTAGGTCAAAGGTCAAGGGTCATAGAGGTCAACTTATGAAATTCCATACATTGAGATTGTTATCATAATATCTCAAGAACCACTGGAGATTTAAACTTCAAACTTAAGGATAGTATGTATCACCATAGGAAGACGATCTGATTAGATTTTGGAGCACGTAGGTCAAAGGTCAAGGGTCACAGAGGTCAACTTATGAAATTCCATACATTGAGATTGTTATCATATCTCAAGAACCACTGGAGATTTAAACTTCAAACTTAATGATAGTGTGTATCACCATAGGAAGACAATCTGATTAGATTTTGGAGCACGTAGGTCACAGGGCTCATTATGTATGCAAAAACAGCTTGTGATCGCGTTATCTGAACAACCGATTGATGGATTCCTGCCAAACTTTGGTCATGTTTGTATCTTGCAGAGCTGATGAACTGATTAGATTTTGGGGTCACGTGGTCAAAGGTCACAGGGCTCATTATGTATGCAAAAACAGCTTGTGATCGCGTTATCTGAAGAACCGATTGATGGATTCCTGCCAAACTTTGGTCATGTATGTATCTTGCAAAGCCAATGAACTGATTAGATTTTGGGGTCACGAGGTCAAAGGTCACAGCGCACATTGTGTATGCAAAAACAGCTCGTGATCGCCTTATCTCAAGAACCGATTGATGGATTCCTGCCAAACTTAGGTCATGTATGTTACTTGCAGAGCTGATGAACTGATTAGATTTTGGGGTCATGAGGTAAAGGTCAAAGTCATGCGGCTCATTATGTATGCAAAAATAGCTTGTGATCGTATTATCATTAGAACAGATTGATGGATTCCTGCCAAACTTAGATCATTTATGTATCTTGCAGAGCCAATGAATGGTTCATAAGATCATGGGCTCATTATGTATGCAAAAATAGCTTGTGGATGCATTCTCATTAGAACTGACAGATGGATTACTATTTAACTCAGGAAATCTTGCAGAGCCAATGAACTGAGTAGATTTTAGGGTCATGAGGTCAAAGATCAAAGGGTCATATATGTATATGAGAAATTGCTTGTAATCACGATATTCTGAGAACATGTTAATGGATTACAATTGAACTTGAATTTGAAAAATTTCTTCCGTTTCGGTTTGTAAACTTGCTCTATGACGGAGGCATCATTTTCGACTGCGCGCAGTCGAATTCCATCTAGTTTACATTTGCATTTTGATAAAATCAACATTGTATCACACAAACACTACATGTTCTTGTTTTTTCATCAACTTTTACAGGAGGATTTGTTCCACCCAATGAAAAGGTCCTGCAAGCGCTGCCAGATGAGCTCAGGGATGGTATAACACCTATTAGAAGTACTGAAACTGTAAGTGAATGAAAATCGTCTACTGAGAGTCAAAAGTGCATGCACTAACTCCCATATTTTGATATATTCTGGCTCTGAATATATCAAAGCGCTTTTAACTCTTGTAGTAAATTATATACATATTTACTTGATTTCATTTTATTACATTAGATGTTAATTCAAAATTGAAACAAAGTTCCATTTATCGTGTATTAGCATCATATGCTTCATAAATTTGCATTCTCCCCCCCCCCCCAAAAAAAAGGAGTTATAAGTAGTTACCATAAGAATCCCAACTCCTATCTATTTAAGAGAATGAATCATAGGTTAAAATATAATAATAATAATTTATTTAGAATGCTAAAAACAAAGTGTACCATATCGCTTACAAAATTACAGAAAGTGAAAAAGAAACATAAACTATATAGTATTTTTATGCCTCCGTTACAAAGTATCCGGAGGCATTATGTTTTCGGGTTGTCCGTCCGTCCCGTTCTCATGATCGCGTTATCTCAAGAACCACCTGATGGATTCTTGCCAAACTTTGGTCATATATGTAACTTGCAGAGCCAATGAATTGATTAGATTTTGGGGTCATGAGGTCAAAGGTCTATGGTCACATGGCTCATTATGTAGGCAAAAACTTTATTATCTTACATGTAATTGATCATGAAGTTAATCATGGGGTTTGGTTGTCAAATAACAGGGGAAGAAGTAGGCTTTAAAAAAGGACCAAAATGCAGAGCCAATGAATTGATTAGATTTTGGGGTCATGAGGTCAAAGGTCTATGGTCACATGGCTCATTATGTAGGCAAAAATAGCTTGTGTTCGCGTTATCTCAAGAACTGATTGATGGATTCCTGCCCTACTTAGGTCATGTATGTATCTTGCAGAGCCAATTAATTGATTAGTTTTGGGGGACACAAGGTCAAAGGTCACAGGGCTCATTAGAACAGATAGACAGATTACCATGAAACTCAGGTCATGTATTTATCTTGCTGAGGCAATGAACTGAATAGATTTTGGGGTCATGAGGTCAAGTTCAAAGGTCATGGGGCTCATTATGCAAAAATAGCTTGTAATCACAATATTTCTGAGAACCTGTCAATGAATTACAATCGAACTTGAATTTGTAAAATTGCTCTATGACGGAGGCATCATTTTCGACTGCGCGAAGTCGAAGTTCCATCTAGTTTGAAAAGGTACCGATAAATCTTATTTTAGTAAGTTACAGAGGGAAAGAGTACATTGTATGTTTTAAGCGATCTTTTGAAAGAGGCAAGACAAGGTTAATTATTTTGATGGAAAGTGGGATTTTGTCCCATGAATTTCATAGCAGCCACTGTGAGACATTTTTATGCCTCCGCTACAAAGTAGCCGCAGGCGTTATGTTTTTGGGTTGTCCGTCTGTACGTCCCGTTCTCATGATCACGTTATCTCATGAACTGATTAGATTTTGGGGTCAAAGGTCACAGGGCTCATTATGTATGCAAAAATAGCTTGTGATCGCCTTATCGTAAGAAGTCAATGATGGATTACTGCCAAACTTGGGTCATGTATGTATCTTGCAGAGCCAATGAACTTATTAGATTTGGGGGGTCAAAGGTCATGGGGCTCACTATGTATCCAAAATAGTTTGTGAACACATTATCAATAGTACCGACTACCGACAGATGAATTACCATCAAACTCAGGACAAGTATGTATCTTTCAGAGCCAATGAACTGATTAGATTTTAGGGTCATGAAGTCTAAGATCAAATGGTCTCACATGTGTATGTATATGAAAAATAGCTTGTAATCAGGATATTCTGTGAACCTGTTAATGGATTACAATCAAACTTGAAATTTTCAAATAGCTTCTGTCTTCGTTTGTAAAATCGCTCTATGATGGAGGCATCATTTTCTAGATGAGATATATAGTGCGTCCCAGAAAAAACGAAAACGAGAATTAGCGATGTCTTATCATAACTTAATCACAATTATAATTAATAAATGACACATATTTGTAAAGCTTAGATCCTCCTCTTTCATTTGATGTAACTCATATGATGCATATTTCACGCATGAGTGATTAAAAATCAATTTGAAGAGAGGAAACAGAAAAGGTAATTTGGCGGACGGTATTTGAATTTCAAAGAGAAAATCAAATTTCTAGAAAGTCCGGTTTCTGCCCTTTCATATGACACCTGAATCAGGAATAATGAGCAAGGAATAACAAAGTTCTGTTTATTTAAAGTGATGCTTCCATTTCCATGATTTCAGAGCAATCCCGACGTCATGTTCAAGCTCGCTAGTCTTCACGCTGAATCCAGAGAGCATGGAGACGTGCAAGGTGAGGAGGCTATTTGTCATTGTATCCATCATATAAAGAATCTGCGCGATTGATTGTTCCATTACGCATCATGTGATAAAATACATGTCACACTTTTCATTTCATTTCATTTTATTCCATTCGTCATATAAAAACATACATAATTATAACATTGATATTTAAAGATGAGTAAAGAACATATGTACAAACAACATAACAACAATAACTAGACTTGAGGTGATACGTATGCTTATGTTTTACATAATAAGGAATGCATTTTTACGATTTCATATTATGTTATAAAATGCTCCTCTCATTATGGTCTATCCACATGCCAAATTTCAACTGTGTAGCATTGATTATTATGGTTCTTTGGAAGATAAATTGAGACAATATGTCCATTGACCCTGTACAATAAGCAGTAACACCAGTGACCCCAATTGACGTAATGAAGAATGCATTTTCACAGTTTCATCTGATTTCATGAAATTCTCTACCCGTCATATGGTATGTTTCTCATTGCCCATAGACTCAAGTTATAACATACCAAAATCTGGAAGGAAATAGAGCAGAGAAAGCAAGATACTGCTCAAAGAACAATGTCATGTAGATTCATGAAGTGAACAAAATTCACCTTCCATAGGCAGGGGCGTAGACAACGGGGGGGGGATGAGGGGGATGGCATGTACAACCATCCCCCCCAGGTTTTGGGAATGATATTTGCTTACTTAATAAGTCATAATGATGATAATAATAGTAATAATAATAATGATAACAATTATAATATTAATAATAATAATAATTATGATGATGATAATAATAATCCTCATCATTATTAGGTGGTCTGTTGAAAACAGATCACCTATTGTTTTCGTCAGAATTTTCTTTCTTTATTATTTATTTATTATTAGGTGGTCTGTCGATGACAGATCACCTATTGATTTCGCTAGAATTTTCTTTCTTTATTCTTTCTTTATTTCTTTATTTTTATTTCTTCCGTACACTTTTTTGTGCACACGTTTACTCGAAATCGACATGGTCAATTTCCTTTGAATTTCTGTCATTCATCACGCCCTATGATTTCAAGTCTAATTAACTTTTTCAAGTTCATGGGGTCATCGTGACGTCATCCAGGCGCCATTTTGTAAAAATCAGGTCATTATCATATCTCGATAACAAGTCATCAAAAATCAACCATATTTGGTATACATCAACTTCAGGTCGAAGGTCAACGAAAAATGTCAAAAAATTCCGCCCGCGCACCTCGACGCACACGTACGCGCGCATTAAAATTTTAAAATGGTCAAATTCGTTCTAAATTAATTTTGCATACGTTTCAGGCCATTTTAAGCATTTTCAAAATTTGCGCGCGCGTCCTGGCATTTTGCAACATAGAATCGCCAAATTTTTTCTGTTATCATATTTATTACATTTTTCCAAGCATTTTGATACCTTGTTTACCTTTTTCCGACCAGTAATACTGCAATTAGCGGCTGTCAAAGTTGAACGCACGCGCCGACCTGCGCTATCTGTATCCACAATACATGGGCAAAAACATGCCTATACAAAATTCATTTTAACTCTTCAGAATTGATAGATAACCCACAATTTCTTTCATATTTAAATAGATTATGAGTTGGAGGTATGATTTCATGTCTCATTTGACCCTCAATTAACTCATGACGTCATCATAATGGCCTCCAAACTCAAAATTTCAATTTGCATATTATGACGTCAGCATATTTCTGGAAAATTGACTGTATCTCTGTAAACAATGATCAATTTTCTTCCAAATTTTGATATGATCTAGCTTAGACAATTCTCTACAAATGCAGTCAACACAATATTTCATTTTGACAAAGGTATCATGGCGTATTTTTGCGATTAAAGGTGGCATGTCAATTTTTCACATTTTGCGTGTATTCTCTATGGGACATGACTTTTTCTCAAAACTGGATTCTACATTCTCGTCTTTCGCGAGCAATATCTCCGTCGTTTTATCTTTATTTACGCTGAGCTTTGAGTATGTTGTAGCTGAGACAATAAGCTATCATAAGTGTGCCCTTTATTTTTCATTCAGATGCCGGGATCATGCTCATATTTCACTTCCAAAGTGGGATTTGAGAATTCCATTTCCCGTTTACGTGTAATCTCTATGGGAAATGTTTTGGTATATCCGTAACGCACTTGACTTCCGACCTCGAGGTCCCTGGTTCGAGTCCGGGCGTCTCCAACAATTTGTTTTCTTCACTTTTTTTTCTTTTTGACCTTTCACTGTACCATCTCCTTTCAATATTAAAACACGTACAGTCGTAAATAATGTAATAAACAACCATATTTACTTTATTATTTCCCTATTATCACTTGATCCATTACTTTTTGCGTGCAATCCTTATGGGAGATGACTTTTTCTCAAATCTGGATTCTACAAAATCTTGTCTTTTGCGAGCAATATCGCCGTTATTTCGGCTTGATTTTTGTTGATTTTTGAGTATGTTGTAGCTGTGACTATATACTATCTAAATGTTCTCTCATTTTTGTCAGTCTGATGTCATCATGGTCTGTTGATGATAATCATCAACATCATCATGATCATCATCATCATCATCGTCATCACCATTACTATCAAGATCATCATCATCATCATCATCATGATCATCATTGTTTACATGTCTATATAATTTCTCCCTTTCTCAATAAAGTAAATATTATAATCTATCATAAGACTTGAAGACAGACCACCTTAATCGTCCTCGTGACGATTTAAATTCTAGTTTATTATTTATTCTTTATTTTTATTTATTTCCTACACTTTTTTGTGCCTAGGATAACTCACGTTCGGTTTCGTCAATTTCATTCAATTTTAGCACAGTCATAGGTCATTGTCATGAGACGTGACAGGAACATTTTCAAGGTCATCAGGTCATCGTGACGTCATCCAGGCGCCATTTTGTGAAATTCCATTATCCATCATATCTTCATGATGCGTCACCAAAGGTCATTCATATTCATATCACATATACTTCAGGTCACGGGTCAACAAGTCATGTCATCAAAGGTCACATAAAGGTCATGACGCGCACGTACGCGCGCGTCAAAATTTTAAAATGCTCAAAATCACTTAACTATTAAAGGAGAGTACGAATCAGGTCATTTTAAGTATTTCAAAATTGTCCGTCCGTAAGTGTCCCCGCGCGCGGAAAACGTCAAATCCAAATTTTCTACATGATTTAGATTCCTCTTACCGTAAATGACAATTTACATTAATTTCAGTCACTCTTGACCTTTCATAAGGCCTTGAGCGCGCGTCAAAGTTCAAAATCCGCGCGCGCTGCTATGGACAATATAATGCAAATTTGATCAAAAACATGCCATTTTAAAAATCAAAATAGCTCTTCAGATAGTCCATTGACCCCAACTTTTATATCATGGTTAGAAAAAGCATGAGTTGGAGATATGATTTCATGTCTTATTTGACCCTCAATTAACTCATGACGTCATCATAATGGCCTCTGAACTCAAAATATCAATTTGCATATTATGACGTCAGCAGATTTTTGGAAAATTGATTGTATCTCTGTAAATATTAATCAATTTTCTTTCAAATTTTGATATGTTTTAGCTGAGACAATTCTCTACAAATGCAGTCAACACAATATTTCATTTTGACAAAGGCATCATGGCGTATTTTTGCGATTAAAAGAGGCATGTCAAAATTTGCGTGTATTCTCTATGGGACATGACTTTTTCTCAAAACTGGATTCTACATTCTCGTTTTTCGCGAGCAATATCTCCGTCGTTTTATCTTTGTTTACGCTGAGCTTTGAGTATATTGTAGCTGAGACAATAAGCTATCACAAGTGTGCCATTTATTTCTCGATCAGATGCCGGGATCATGCTCATATTTCACTTGCAAGGTGGGATTTGAGAATTCTAATTTCCCTTTACGTGTAATCGCTATGGGAAATGTTTTGGTATATCGGTAACGCACTTGACTTTCGACCTCGAGGTCCCTGGTCCGGGTGTCTCCAACAATTTTTTTTTCTCACTTTTTTTGTCTTTTTGACCTTTCACTGTACCGTTCCTTTGAACATTAAAACACGTAGAATCGCAAATAATGTAATAAACAACCATATTATCACTTGATCCATTACTTTTTGCGTGTAATCCCTATGGGAGATAACTTTTTCTCAAATCTGGATTCTACATTCCTGTCTTTTGCGAGCAATATCGCCGTTTTTTCCTCTTGGTTTTTGTTGATTTTTGAGTATGTTGTAGCTGAGCCTATATGCTATCTAAATATCCCCTCATGTTTTTCAATCAGATGTCAGGATCACGCTCATGATCATCATGATCATCATCATCATCATGGTTATCATTATCGTCATCATCAAAAGTAGTTTATTTCTCAATACTTTGTGTCATATTCATTAGGCCTACCTTTTTTGATATTTTTTGCATTAAATTTGATCATGATCATCATGCATTATCATGATATTTTCTCAATATTTCGTTCATCAGTTCAGCTCATCAGTTTAGTTCAGTTCATCAGTTTATCCGTTTAGCTCATCAATTCAGTTCATTTCACATCAGTTCAATCTATCAGTTTATCAGTACTTTATTCATCAATCCATATCTTAATACATCATTTTACATTAACATCAGTTTATTGGGTAATTGAATTGAAGATGAGCATGATCATAAGAATTGAAGACAGACCACCTAATTCGTCCCCATGACGAATTAAATTTCTAGTTGTAATTGTGTTTATTGTTATTAGCCGCATTCACACGGTGAAAGCCAATTCAGACGGTAAAAAAAGAAAATCTTACAAGTATTTTGTGGTTATCTTGTGGTTTGGAAACCACAAGATAACCACAAGATTAATCGCGCATATTTTGCAGTGCGCGCAATCTCGTGGTGTGGAAACCAAAAGATAACCACGAGTTTTGCGTTTTCAAATGGGGCAAACCACAAGATAACCACAAGATACCTCTAAGATTGCAAACCACAAGATAACCACAAGATTGGCTTTTAACGTGTGAAAGAAGCTATTGAAAATCAGGGATGCGGA